GCTCCCAAGAAGTAGTATCCTGTAGAAACTGAAAAATAAAACAATGGAGGAGCAGTGGTTTTATGACCTTAGAAAAGTACTTTGAAAATCTGAATTTTCTGTTTCCTTGGGCCTGGACATGGGCATGGGCAAAATTGTCTCTAACTTAAAAACTGAGCAGCAACTAAGGAGATGCTACTTCCTATTATTATAGAGAAAGACACATGAAAAGGCCAGACTAGAGAGAGAGGTAACATTTGATTACTTACAATGAGCTGAGCATTGTAAGCAAGTGTAAGGATACTTTTCAAAATAATAATTTATGCATTATCATATTTCTTTCTTACTGAAATCTACAGGGTTACATTAACCCTTATCAAGAGAAAACCATGACTTAAATCTAATTTGGTCAAAGCCACACAATAAGCCAATAGAGCGGGGATTCTAAACTAATTTTGTTTAGCTTCAAACTTTACGGCCTTTTCCACTGTGGCCTTTCTTCCCATATCTCTGACCAGTCCTCTTCAATGTCTTTCACATCCTTTTTCCAGTGTTTGTCTTAAATGTTGGTGCTCTCCAGGGCCCCAGACTAGACTCTTCACTCTTCTCACCACACTGTTAAGCCTAATCTGTTACGACTTCTACTGCTATTTTAAGTTGATGACTTCTGAGTCTGTATCTCTAATCTTGAACTGAACAGCAGCTCTTAGCTTCAAAAAACTCTCCTTATATATCCGAAAGGAACCTCATCTTCAACATCAGAGACAAAATTCCTTGCTCCTGCCCTCAAATCTGCCTCTCTTCTTGAATTCCAAATGCCAGTTGTCAGAGTTAAAGTTCATCAGACTTAACTCCTTGCTCTCCCTCACCTTCACGTGCTATCAGAAAAAGACTTGGTGATCCTACCTTCAAATAACCTCTTTTAAAATTTTTAATTCTTAAAAAACAAAAAAACAAAACTTTCTAGTTCTCTATTGTAAAAATATATCTGTTACATTAATCATGGCGTACACACATCACTGACATCTATTGCTAGCTTTTCTATCACCATAAACAGAACTCAGTACTTTCTAAGCCATATCAAAATATTTCTTGATTCCTGACCTTCCCGCTTGATTCCTATTTTTGTTGCTCCAGTTTTTACTTGGATCTTTGCAATAGTGTTATTACTGGTTCCTCCAGTCCGTATTGCTGCCTTTATATGACTATAAACAATAAAAGTATGCGTGCAATATTTTTCCCTTTAAAACCCTTTAACACCACCACCTCCTACAGAATGCAGCCCTAGACATGCTTACCAAGCTGTGCCAGGAAATTTGAAGGACAGCTACCTGGCCAATCTATTGGAAGAGATCTAATTTGTTTCCATTCCCAAAATAGGTGATCTAACAGAATGTGGAAATTATCAAACAATATCATTAATATATCATACAAGCAAAGCCTTGCTGGAGATTAATAAAGAACAGCTAACAGTACAGTGACAGAGAACTGCTAGATATTCAAGCTAGATCTAGAAGAAGCTGTGGCACAAGGGATATTATTGGTGATGTCAAATGGATCTTGGCTGAAAGCCAAGAATACCAGAAGGATGTCTATTTGGGGTTTATTGGCTGTGCGAGTGCATTTAATTTTGTTCATTTTGAAATTATCAAAATATTAGTAACATTGAGAAGAATGGGAATCCCAAAATACTTAATTGTGTTCATGAGAAACCCCTACTTAGACCAATAAGCTGTGTTATGAGCAGAGCAAAGAAACACCGCCTGGTTTAAAATCAGGAAGAGTGTGTGACAGGCTGTATCCTTTCTACATCCCTATTAAATATGTATGCAAAACAAATCATTCAAGAAGATGGACTATATGAAGAAGAATGTAGGATCGTGATTGGAGGAAGACTCACCAACAGCCTGCATTATACTGATGGCCCAACCTTGCTTGCTGAAAGGGAGGGAGACTTGAAACTCTTGCTGCAGAGGATCAAAGACTACAGGCTTCAATTTTAATACATCCTAACATCAAAATTTAAAAAAACAAAAACAAAAACAAAAAAACCACCTTACCACAGGGCCAATAGGCAACATCATGTGGATGGAGAAGAGAGATAATTGTTCATGACTTTATCTTACTTGGATCCACAATTAACACCGTTGGCATGAGCAGCCAGGAAATCAGAGGATGTATTGCATTGGGAAAGTCTGCTGTCAGAGACCTTTTCAAAGTGCTGAAGCCCTCCAAAGTACTTAATTGAAGACTAAGGTGTATCTGATTCAAGCTATGGTCTTTTTAGTCACTTGCTATGCAACTCGAAGTTAGACAATTAATAAAGATGACACTAGAAGAATTGATGCCTTTGAATTGTGATGCTGGAGAAGAGTGGTAAATATCTCATGGACTGCTAAAAGGACAAACAAGTATGTCTTGGAAAAGGTGTAGCCAGGGTGTTCCTTGGGACAAGGAATGAAACTTCATCTGACAGACTTTAGACTTTGGGCATGGTATAAGGAGGAACCAGTCCTTGAAAAAGTACCTCATGCCTGGAAAGGTGGTGGTGGGGTCAGTGAAGGAGGAGAAGACCTTCAGCTGGATTGAAGATCCAGATGGATTGACACAGTGACTGTAATGGTGGGCTTAAGTGTGTCAGAGGTGATGAGGGTGGCACAGGATAGGGCAGGGTTCAGATCCATTGTTCATAGCGTTGCTATGAGTCATAGTCAACGCAACGACACTTAGCAACAACACTCTTCAGAATAAAGTGCAAAAAAGGGGCTTTCTGTGTCTTGAAGTTTTCTTCTCCAGAATCTCCTTGCCTTACAATCTACTCTTCAGTTATAGTGACCTCAGGCACTGGTTGTTTCCTCTAATCTCACATGTTTCCTTTTAAGATGCCTTCATTTAGGCTCTGCCTATAGCTCCAACCTTCCACCTGTATCACTTCTCACCTCAGTACCCATCGTGAACATCTTTCCTCAGCAGTCCATTACTGCAGCCCATAAAGTGAGTGTAAAACCAGACCCGTGTGTTCCTCAGCTCGTTGTCATTGCATTATCAGCATGTCCTGAAAGTAATTGTTTTTCTTCTCCACTAGGCTTTAAATTCTGTGAATGCAGAGAACATGTCCTATTCTAACTTTAATGAATAGTAGCTAAATCAAGTGGAAGAAACGATGGGGGTGGGGGGAGAAGGAGCTGAACAGAAGATTTCAAAGGACAATTCAAGAAAATCAAATAGAATATTATAATGAAATATGCAAAAACTTAGAAAACCCAAAGGGAAGAACACACCCACTCTTTCTCAAGCTGAAAGAGCTAAATTTAAAAAACCAAGTCTCAAAGTATAATATTGAAGTATTCTGTGGGTAAAAACCATACAAGAAAGATAAAAGAAAATGTAAAAAATACAGAGTCACTCAAACAAAAATAATTTATTGATGTTCAACCACTTCAGGAAGTCCCATCTGATCAAGAGCCGATGGTGTTGAAAGAAGTTTAAGCTGCACTTATGGTATTGGGGGGAAAAACAAGGTTTCAGAATTAGAGTACTAATTAAAGTGTTTTAACAAACAGATGCAATGCAAAAGCATTCACTCATTTATGGCAAGAAATTTGAAAGACCGTTACCTGGCCCGTCAAATAGAAGAGGTCCATATTTGTGCCCATTCTAAAGAAAGGTGATCCAACAGAATGTGTAATTAATAGGACAGTGTTACTACTATCTCACGCAAGTCAAGTTCTGCTGAAGATTATATAAAAATGGATGCAACTTGCAGACTTCCGAGTTGTAAAACAACCCAATGGTAGATGGAATTTGCTCCAGGACTTAAGAACAATAAATGACATAGTTGAACCTCTACATCTTGTGATTCCTAACCTTTATAATAGACAAAGTGCTAGTCAGTAGGCCTTTTATTGTAAGAACTACCTTCCCTCTGTAACTTGATTAGTGCCACTATTAGAGTCTCTACCTGGAATATTATTGCTTTTCAATTTTTGACTCATGTACTTTTAACTTGTTAGTTAAATTTGTGTCTTCTAGGTTGCAACACTTCCATGTTACATGTTCAAGGATATGAACATGCACGGCTAAGCACAATTGATAACAGTGCATCTAAATTTCAAAATCAATCTCCATAATAGTCTATGTTTCCTACTGCCAAAGGGGCCCTTTAGAGTAGTGAGAGAAGATCTTCACCCTGAAACCCACAGCGTCCCTTTTCAGCAGGAAGTAGCTAAGAGAATACGCCATCCCCTTTTCCTTATGACTCAGGGTGAAGTCTCTCTCAGGGAGGAGTGATAGGGAATGGCAAAGGACACACTGACAAAGAAGATTAATCAGAACTGGCTTTGACAAGCACTGTGGCAATTGGACAATTAAAACAGACTATCAAGGGGGTGGAAAGAATGAATTGGGGAGGAGGGTTAGAGAAAATAGTGCAACAATGAATGAATGAATGAATGAATGAATGAAAACCCCAAATCTCTGTACATGTTCATTAAAATTAATAAAATTTAATAAAACAACAACAACAACAAAAAACAGATGCAACAGTCCATTAACAGGGAATTGCCAGAAATTTAAGCTGCATTCAGAAGAGGAAATGGAATGAGAAATATCCTTGTGGATGTCAGATGGTTCTTGACTGAAAGTAGAGAATACTAGAAATGTATTTACTTGTGTTTATTGAAAATGCAAAAGCATTCAACTGTATGGATTATAGCAAATTATGGATAATGTTCTAAAGAATGAGAATTCCAGGAGATTAAGTACGAATGCAACACCTGTGCACAAAGCGAGAGATAGTTCTTCGAACACAATGTATGCTGCAGACTTTAAAGTCAGGAAAGGTGTATGTCAGACCTGTAACGTCTTTCCATACATACTCAGTTTGTTGAATAAGTTGATCATTAAACAAATAATCAGATAATATGGACTGTTAGAAGAATGACCGGGTATATGCTCCTGCAACAGGCGCGGGTCACGCTCTTGCTTGCCCTCTTTCTGCCACCATCTTGGTTCTGCGTTCCCCGCACAAAATGCCCGGTGAAGCCACAGAAACCATCCCTGCTACAGAGCAGGAGTGGCCACAGCCCCAGGCTGAGACAGGGTCAGGAACAGAATCCGACAGTGATGAATCAGTACCAGAGCTTGAGGAAAAGGATTCCATACAGGCAACCACACAAGTGCAGCTGGCAGCAGCAGCTGAAATCGATGAAGAACCAGTCAGTAAAGCAAAACAAAGTCGGAGTGAAAAGAAGGCTAGGAAGATGATGTCCAAACTGGGACTTCGACAAGTCACAGGGGTTACTAGAGTCACTATCCGGAAATCTAAAAATATCCTCTTTGTCATCACAAAACCAGATGTTTATAAGAGCCCGCTTCAGATACCTACATAGTTTTTGGTGAAGCCAAGATTGAGGACTTATCTCAGCAAGCACTGCTAGCAGCTGCTGAGAAATTCAAAGTTCAGGGGGAAGCTGTTTCAAACATTCAAGAAAACACACAAACTCCAACTGTTCAAGAGGAGAGTGAAGAGGAAGAGGTTGATGAAACAGGTGTTCTGTACCTAGGATACGACTCTAGGGAGAAAGCCTCTTCCTCTTTTCTAGAGCTTGACTTTGGACATCCATGCCAGAGGCCGAGGAAAGCACCCACCACTTTGGAATGCAGAGTAAAGGAAAGGATGTATTATAAATCATATTCCTCAGAAATTTAAAGGAGAAAGATCTGTGGTATACTCAGCAATCTCATTGCCTGACTTTGTGAATAGACTGATCCATCACTAATATAGTTTGTTGTTGGTAGGTACTGTTGAGTCAAGTATGACTCACAGTGATCCTATGAGCAACAAATCTGAACCCTGTCCTATCTAATGCAGTCCTCATAATTTCTGATACACTTGAGCTCAGTGCTGCGTTTATTATGCCAATCCATCTGGGAGATCTTCCTCTCTTTCCTCAACTCTATGTTGTTGTTGTTGTTGTTGTATACTTTCAAGTCAGAATCAACCCACAGCTGACCCTCCTGTGGGTTTTCAGAGGCAATTAATTGTACATGAGGGGGTTGCCCATCTTTCTCCCGCAGAGCAGCTGGTGAATTCAAACTGCATGCCTTCAGGGTTCTTGCCACCAGGCCACCAGAGCTCCTTTCTAGTTCTGTGTTTTGTGCAAATCTGTCAAAGAAATGGTACTAAATGTTGCTCTCTGTATGCTTCTAATTGTAAAATTGATTTTGAGGTCTGATCCCTTGAGTTTGGACCATTAAACTGATAGTGTTATTGATCATGTGTATTCTCTATTTTAAAAAAATTAAGTATTTAATCTTCTAATTCTCAAATCTTAAAGGCTCTTCAGATAGTCTAGTTATGTTATTGCTTCAAGTTGTCCGCTGAATTCTATGGTCCTCTGTGTCACAAACCTATTTTGTGGCTTTAAACTAGTACTTTATCTTAAACTCTTTTTTTGTCCTAGTTCTTATATCTTTTTTTTCTATATTTTATTAATTTTCATAAACATTTACAGAGATTTTGGGTTTCCATTCATTCATTGTTGCACTATTCTCTCTACCCTCCTCCCAGTTTGTTCTTGTCCAAATGCCACAGTGCTTGTCAAAGCCAGTTCTGATTAATCTTCTTTGTCAGTGTGTCCTTTGCCATTCCCTATCACTCCTCCCTGAGAGAGACTTCACCCTGAGTCATAAGGAAAAGGGGATGGCGTATTCTCTTAGCTACTTCCTGCTGAAAAGGGACGCTGTGGGTTTCAGGGTGAAGATCTTCTCTCACTACTCTAAAGGGCCCCTTTGGCAGTAGGAAACACATAGACTATTATGGAGATTGATTTTGGAATTTAGATGCACTGTTATTGATTGTGCTTGGTCGTGCATGTTCATATCCTTGAAGATGTATCATGGGGGTGTTGCAACCTAGAAGACACAAATTTGACTAACAAGTTATAAGTACTTGAGTCCAAAAATTATGGAAAAGTAAAAGAAAAGATTCTTTCATTGTTTTACAAACCCTCCCCCAGGTCCCCTCCACCATGTAGCCCTCGCTCTAGTCTCCTGTGATGACAGAAATACCTAGTTATATATCTCTTTTAAACAGTTTTCTCCCTCCTCTGTTTCAGTGCAGTATACATTATTGAACCCATCTTACTCAGTCTCTCCCCAACCCCAAGGACAGTCCCATTCTACAACAGTGGCATCATGTAATATTTGTCCTTTTGTGACTGGGATATTTCACTCAGCATAATGTTCTCCAGAGTCAACCATTTTGAATAATATTGCATGAGTTCCTTATTTTTTTTAATGCAGCATAGTATTCCATTGTGCGAATATACCACAGCTTCTCTAGCCATTCGTTTGTTGATGGGTACTTAGGTTGTTTCCAACTCCTTGCTATTGTGAACAAAGCTGCAATAAACATGGGTGTGCCTATATCTGCTTGGATGTCAGCTATGGTCTCTTCAGGGTATATTCCCAGTAGTGGAATTGCTGGGTCAAATGGTATCTCTAGTTGCAACTTTTTGAGAAAGCGCCATACTGCTTTCCACAGGGGTTGCACCATTTTACACTCCCACCAACAGTGAATCAGGGTTCCAGTTTCTCCACAACCTCGCCAGCATTTGTTGCTTGCTGTTCTGTTAAATTTTGCTATTTTGACTGGGGTGAGATGATATCTCATAGTTGTTTTAATTTGCATCTCTCTTAGGGCTAGGGATTTTGAGCATTTCTTCATGTGTTTGTTAGCCATCTGAATGTCGTCTTCGGTGAAATGCCTGTTCATATCCTGTGCCCATTTTTCTATTGGATTCTTTACCATTATCTTGTTGTGGTATCTTAAACTCTTAATATTTACACATTACTGCTCTTTGAACTGGGGTAGTAATACCACTAGAGAGGAAAAATATTAGTAACTCAGTGGGTCTTTTTCCCTACAAATATCTAGAAGACAAAGTGCCTTCTTACACTTTCTTCTGAATTCTCCTTTGGGACTTTGGCTCAAATGGAGAATTTACCTTCTTGGCAGTATCTCTGGCTGCCAAGGGTAACTTTGCCACCCTGCCTTTTAAGTGGTAAACACCTTACCATTGTGCTGGTAGGCTAAGGTCCTGAAAAACCTAAAGGGCCCCACCCACATCCTCTTTAGAAGGTCTTATCCTAAACTTATATTTAGACTTACAGCATCTCACAAATAAGACAGACTTCCTTCCTACAAAAATCTTAACTCTTCATCCTACAGTTGTAAGAAAGGTGGTAAAGGAGAACTGGGAACTGGGTATAATATTGGCAAATATTTTAGCACTTCAGGTAAAAAGTGTTTGATAAGTATAGAGTTTTGGACTGTTCACTGGAGAATATGGTTTCTTTGGTTGTCTGCTGGCGGGGAAAAAAATGATTAGCCTTTCCCTGAATCTTGGAATATTTCTTTAACCATTTCCTGAATCTAGGATTATCTCTTTAACCAGTTATATTGGTAGATGTGATGTTAGCCTAAAAGTTGGCTTTTTTTTCTGTTATAGTTAGCCCCCTCTGTTTTCCAGTTACCTTAACTGCAGGCACATGGTCTTGCATCAGCATGGTTTTGCAAATCATCAACAGCTGTGAGACTAGGGTGAAAGAAAAGGTGCTTCCCATACTGGACAGCAAGACTTGTGGTAACAAGACTTGAGGGAGACTAGAGCAAAACCTTGGTGGCAGGACCCTGGTGATGGTATTGGAGAGACTGATTGCTAGGAAGAAGCTATGGCAATGTGTGACCTGAGTGAGACTTCTTGAATTTGTACTGGCCACAGTTAAAGGTTTTTACTATTCTTGCCGGATGCTTGAAGGAGAAGCTGACTTAACAACTGCTCTGAAGCAAACCTTGCTGGATGATTTGGATTTGACTGCTGAGCTGAAACCAGAGCCTGGAGTATTTGAGGAATTGTGCCTTGGACCTTGAGCTAAAACCTGCCTTGCATTGGGTGGTATTCTTGGCTCCCTCCATCCCCCACTCTCCACCTTCCTTCCCTAATAAACCCCATTCTCAGTATCACAGATATGAGTCTGAGTCAGCAATGAATGAACGAGCCTCTTGCTTCTGGTGGAGCTCTACAGGCACATGGTGCTGGGCTACTGGCTCTTTATGTGCTTTCTTCTCTGAGGCAGGGAGGGGCTAAGCTATTCTCACTCCCTCTGGCCCTTTCTGAAAGATGCTCACGGCCCTGTTTTCACCTATTTAGACAATAGAACAAGATAGACATCCTCCTAAAATTAAATAAAAATTGAAGCAAGGTGATACTCCTTTCTCCTCACTGCCCTTTCCAGTTCATTGATGGACTGCCACAAACAAGATGAATGTGTGTTTGATAGAGTCCTTTCTCTTTTCCCCTATTGAAAGCTCAAGTACTTTGCATTTCGTTTCCTTGCTCTAATACCCAAGACTTTAAAGAATGTGCCCCCTTCCCACTGCCAGCCTCCACACATTTGTTCCTATTTTAGAGCATCTGATAGGAAATGAGTTTCCATTTAAATGCTTCTATAACATAAGGAGCCTTTAGATTCTCATATTGTGTATCTTTTAGTTTCTCTTTTACCTCAGAATAGTTTTCTTTGAGGGAAAGTGTGGAGATATTTTTTGCCCCTCTCTGAGATTTATTACTTTTAACCCATAATTAAACCATATCCCTTTTCATTGAATAAAGAAAATGGACTGCTATTGCAGTGTGAAGATTATATCTGAGGGACAAATTTATTAAATGTGAGGTTATTCAATATTCCAGACTCCTAAGCAATACTAAAGACTGTCTTTCCCTAAAGTTCTTTGTTTTTGTTTTATTAGAACAGATTCTCATTAGGAGGAGTGGATTTGGTACAGATCTAGACGAAGTCATGAGACAGACAAGTTAACTCTTGAAAATTACATATATGTATTTTTTAAGTGATCTTTTGTTTTTATGGAATTGATTTCATTAAATGAGCCTGAGGCCATTGAAGAGCCCTTTTAGATAGAATTTTTTACTTGGTATGCCAACCTCTAATTCTCACTCACTTATGGTAAGTTTCAAGTGGGGATACTTTTATGATGTGGTTAGTTTCCATGACTACTAAATAAAACATGAATTTCTCATATTACTTGAAGACTGTTTGTGGGAGGTCTTGATTTGGCTCTTTGCATCTTATAAAGAACACATCATCATTTAGATTAGATGTCTCTTTTCTCAACATGATGCTTGGAATAATGATAAAAAGAGGAATACCCTCAATGAGATGGGTTGATGACACAGTAAGCAATGGGCTCAGGTTTGTCAAAGATGATGTGGCTGCCACAGAATAAGCAGAGTTCAGATCTATTACTCATAGTCACTATGAATTGTGTTTGACTTGATAACATCTAACAACAACTTCTGAGCTCTACAAAAATGGTGGGATTCATCTTAGAATAGAAATTGTCTACCACACATACTATGGGCATGTGGCCAGGAGGAACTGGTCCTTGGAGAAGGACATCATACGTGGATGATGTGGATTGATTCAGTAACTGGAGCAATAGGAGTTAGGTGTGTCGGAGTCAGTGAGACTGGCTCAGGATAGGGCAGGCCTCAGAGCTGTTGTATATAGAGTCACTGTGAATTGCAGACAACTCAACAGCACCTAACAACAACAGAAACCACACTATACAGTGTTCTATGTTCTGTAAAGCCATTTGATTGTGAAACAATAACCTTTAGGACAAAA